CTTACACGATCTGTGCGCCCCCGAGGCAACACACCTTCGCAAATTACTCCGTGCTCGCGTCCCCGAAGCCACAACCCATCCGTAAATTATATTATCTTCGCGTCCCCGAGGCCACAAACCCTAGCACATGATACACGTGTCGCATCCCCGAGGCAACGCACCCTTGCAAATGACTCAGTATTCTCGGCCCCGGGGCCATACACCATCCGCAAACTACGCCATATTCGCACTGCCGATGCCAAGAGTGCTCCAAAAGGCCTGAAGATGGGTCCAAGACGGCCCAAGAGGGCCCAAAAAACGCTCCAAGAGGCCTCCCGAGAGAACCCAACAGGCCAACATCGTCGATTTGACGACGGTGTTTGAAGGAGGTTGGCTTTCTCGAGTGTTGTACTTTACAATGTTCCAGAACGGCCCAAAAATCCCCCATGACCGCTCCAAAACAGCCCAAGACGCCCCCCAAAGGGCCCCAAGACGGCCCAAGCGGGTTCCAAGATGGCCCACGAAACGCTCAACACGGCCCGAGAGAGCCCCAAGACGGCCCCAAGAGAGGCCCAAGCAGGGCACCACGAACCGAACATTTTATACTTGTGCCCCGAAAAACCCCCAGCAGGCCCCTGGGGGCCGCCAAGAGGCCCAAAGCGGCCCAAAGAGACGCCCAGGACGCGCCCAAAACGCCTCCAACAGGTTCACAATATACCCCATGAGGCCTTAAGAGGCCCCTAAGAAGCACCAAAACCAACTCTACGAGGCCCCCGAGAGGCCCGCCCCGACACCCCGACACACGTACAAGAGACCTCATACCCACAACCCAGGCACGGTAGGGGGCTGAGCAGAAAACCACTAGGATAACGCCAGCGTTTCAACATGCGCTGATGATTCCTATCGGCCCCCGCATGGTTTTCCCAGATGCGCCAAGGTAGCGCCGAGACGCATCGACGCGACTCTGAAATACCCCATTATGATAAGAGACGGGCTGGCGGCAGGGTACGGACGAACAAATGAACGAACGAACGAAATGACTCAGGAACGGCGTGTCTGCAAAATCGTGCGGTGTGCGCTGGAACTGGGCGGATTAGAAATACGTTCCTGACTAATTCGCTTCTAAAAGGCGCGGCGCCGAGAAGGAACTCTCGCCACGCGTGATACTAGATGCACTTTGGCTCCCACCCACCCCCTACCTCGGCGGAAAGGCTCGATGCTTTGAAGGCTGGGTGCGGCCGTAGGGTCGGAGCAACATTGGGGGGGAGGAGCTCCAGCGCACGAGCTCCCCCCTTCAAGGAGAACCCACGACGCTGGCATGCAAAGGGGACGAGGCGCTTGGCCCCCCCCCCCCAAGAGCCCGAAGCAAGCGAGAGAGGAGCCGGGAAGAGGGGAGGACCACAATGCGGAGGGGGACAGCCTAAGCAGGTAGAAAACTCCCCATGCCCAAGCCTCTGAACATCCTAACTGACAAACCAATCTCGGGTCGGTCCATGTCCCCCTGAAAGAGGAGGGAGAGAAACGAGCTATCTACGATCACTCTGGATGCCCAATATCCCGAGGATTCTATCCAAAGGGGGGCATCGCGGAGGAGGTCTAAGAGGGAGGAGCCGCGGTGGGAGCGGGGGAGTTGGCCTAGACCCCGCCACTGCCCTAGGGGTAGCTCCCTGGGCCCCTTCTGGAAGTACACGCGGTACAAGGAGTTACCGCAATCGGTCCCGTCTCCATCGCAGGAGTGGAGGGTCTGATCTGTGGATCCCTCTTAATTGCCATAGCCTATCCCGAAGCTGTCGAGAGCGCCGCTGTCCCAGAGGGGATCGCATCATGGATGTCGGCGGAATCAACATCGCTGCATCGCTGTCGAAGGGTACCCCCCTGATGCACTTCTGCTGGCAGGTCGTAGTGGTGGTGACGTCACTTCTGCCTTCCCTTCCACAGCATTATTGGAGCGCTCCGCCGACGAGCTTCGCTGAGGCGACGAAGAACCCACAAGGGCGATCCCGACCAAGCCGAGCGCTGCAAAGCCGACGATGAGTCAGGAGGAAGTGGAGGACGAGGACGAGGACGAGGAGGAGGAGCATGAGGAGGAGGAGGAGGAGGAGGAGGAGGAGGAGGAGGAGGAGGGCGAGTAGGAGGACGACGACAAGGACGAGGATAAAGAGGAGGAGGAGGAAGAGGTTTTCGTTCCACGCAATGGACAACCTTTTCATAGCTCAACTCTCAAGCACTGCATAACACGACGGCATGGCACAAGACAGGCACCTCGAAACGAGCCGCATGACCCAATGCGACAATCCCACGCGACGCTCGACATCCAGGATGAGGACGAGGATGACGAGGACGAGGAGTACACAGCCCGAGGGGACGACCGACGACGGCGGACGACAGTCAACTCCCAATCACCTCTAACTGCATGGCGGGGGCGCGCCTGCATAGCTGAACAAGACGAGCTCTGGCGAAGCTAAGCATTCTCGCCCGCTCTCTATGCGGGGCGACGCGTGGCCAATGCTTAGACTCGTGATAAGCTGCGCAACGAAGACCGAGAACGAGAGTGACAGAGACGAGAGCAAAGGACGAGAGAGGCATGACGAGGACGAGGAGCAGGAGGAAGAGGACGTGCCGGGCTCCCCCCAGGCGGCGAGGGTGCCAGCATTCCCCCCTCCCCCCCCCCCTGGAAGGCTGCGGCGGCCGCTGAGGCCCGCGCCCGCTCCTGCTCGTCCTGTGGGAGGGCCCACCCACCCCTCCAGGACGAGGACGAGAGGGGAGAAGGAAGGGGTCCTCCTCCCTATTCGCCTCCTCCTCCTCCTCCTCCTCCTCCCTCCCTCCCCCTCCTTTCCTCTCCTCCTCCTTCTCCTCCTCCTCCTCCTCCTCTTGCTCCTCCTCCTGCTGCTCCTCATCTTCTTCCTCTCTCCTCCTCCTCCTCCTCCCACCTCCTTCTCCTCCTCTCCTCTCTCCTCCTCATCCTCCTCCTCATCCTCCTCCCCCTCCTCCCCTCCTCCTCCTCCTCCTCTCCTCCTCTTCCTCCTCCTCCTCCTCCTCCTCCTACTCCTACTCCTACTCCTCCTCCCCCTCCTCCACCCCCGCTAGAATCGAATATGAATATTACTCTCCACTACCCTTAAGGATCATGTGCGCATATTGCTGTTTGACTAGCGCACAGAGCTTCAAACGTCTGTACTTCATACGGGTTCTTCCACTCAGGGTGTCTCCGGACTATCGGTATGGAGCTCCCGCTGCAGCGTTGGCCCCATTTCAGGATCGTCCTCTCGTTCGGACTGGCGCTCTCGCCCCAGGGCAGGGCGTACTTCTTCACCCGACTCCCCCGTCGTCGCCGACCCCTCCTTCGCCCTCCTCCGCCTTCCCCTGATCTGGCTCCTCCAGCTCCTCCCGCCCCTCCTGCTCCTGGTCCTGCTCTGCTGCTGCTCCTCCTGCTCCCGGCCCCCTCCTCCTCATCCTATTCCTCCTCCCTCCTCATCCTCCCCGTTGGCCTTCGCGGCGCCCGGAGGGCCCACAGGGAGGAGGGGGGGGGGGCAATGGAGGGCCGCACTCGATTTCGGGATTCGGAGGCACGTTGCGGGCCCTGGGATCGTCAAACAACGACGCAGAATGAAAAACGTGCCCCCCAGAAAGATGTCGAATCGGTAGCTCCTCTCTGGGCCCGCGCATCGCAACGCAGAAAAACGTGGTCGGAGGCCTGCAGGGCCCCTCGATCACTGCGCTGACCTCCTCGCCAGGGCGGCCATCTCGCGGACACGGCGCCTCCGGCGGTCGGAGACTGGGCCGAAGGGCGTGTGCGCCGCCCTGCTCCGTCTGTTCTCCAGCCGATCCCTTCCCTCAAAGCCCTCTCCTCCCCATCGACCACACGCGGGGAGATGCAGGGTAGGGCCAAAGCCGCCCAGAACAATACACTGCCCACCTGCAGGTCCCTTCCATGTTCGAAAATGAATGTTCCGAGGGTCTCGACAGTCTTCGGAGGTTCTGACTTTGGGGGGTTGTCGGCCGTGCTGCTGATAGTTTTGTATGTTTCACCATGCCTCATGGCATCTCATGGCTGTTTGAGCAAATCCTTGATGTTTCTAGCGGTTTCTCCGAGTTCCGCACAGATTCCTTCTGAACCCATTCGGCGGCGGATCCCGTTCAACCACCGAAAAAACCTTGGATCCATCGGCTGGACGGGCCCAATTCCGCCGACCCTTCTGGAATTGAGTTCGTTCGGCTGCCCGTTCGGCGACCGAAAGGGCAAAGACGCCAATGGGCTCAGTAAGGATCCAGGGGAATCAGTTAGGCAGAAGCACCGATGAGCGATTGAGGTGGGACGACTATTTTGCGACCTCCACCCTTAGACAGAACACTACCTATGCATCAAGGGGGTGGGGAAGCGCCGACGTTGGCCAGCTCGGACTCACGCAGACCAGGAATGGCACAGAGTGCGCCGCGCACCAACGTTGAGTGGGGAAAGCGCCGACGTTGGCCAGCTCGGCCCCCGCCCCCCTGCCCTCTTAGAAACCCACCCCCGAGGCGATGCCCGCGAGCCTAGAAAACGCTGCCTCGGAGCTGCTCGGGAACTGCCCACTAATTTGGGAAACGCTGCCTCGGAGCTGCCAACACGCTGTCACGAGCATAGGAAACGCTGCGCATACAGACCAAGACTGGCACGGAATGCGCCGCACAGGACTGGCCCTGGACCGCGTCCTATCCCAGTGGGTACTCCAGATCCTTCAATAAGCACCCCCCGTGCCAACCTGTCCGACGCCCCTTGCCCGCCCCCCGACGCGCCCCAAACCCACCCCCTCTCGCTCCCCAACCTCCCCATGCCCCCCGAATGACAGCGGTTTCCTACCCCCCCACGCGATCCACCCCCCCAACGCTTGTTGAGAGACCTGGAGTAAGTGTTGAACAGCAAACAACGAGCTTACCACGACGGGGACTAGCAGAGGCCTGGCGAGTTCATCCCAGGGCACCACGATGAGACCCCAGGCGCTCCGCGATGCAGGAGAAGTGCTGGGAATGACAGGAGAGTCCCCAGCCCCTGTGCATTTCATCGGGCATCCCTGTGCAGGTCGCAGTCGCGCAGCTCGCGGCTCTTCCCGAGGGTCTCCTGCACCTCCTCCCAGGTCGTCGCGTACGGGGCCTCGCGGAGAGGGCCCATCACTCCATCTCCACTTCCTCCCCCTTCTCTTCGGAACTTCGCAGGCATATCCTTTTTCCTCCCGCTGCCGCTCCTCCTCCTCCTCCTCCTCCTCCTCCTCCTCCTCCTCCTCCTCCTCCTCCTCCTCCTGCTCCTTGCCTCCTTCCTCATCCCCCTCCCCTTCCCCCTCCTCGTCCTCGTCCCAGTCCTCCTCCTCCTCCTCCTCCTCCTCCTCCTCCCTCCTCCTCCTCCTCCTCCTCCTCTTCCTCCTTCCTCCTCCTCCCTCCTCCTCCTCCTCCTCCTCCTCCTCCTCCTCCTCCTCCTCCTCCTCCTCCTCCTCCTCCGCCTCCTCCCCCCCGTGGCAGCGGCATGCGCACTTGTGCTGGCGGCGCGCACACGGCGAGGGCGGCGGAAGGGGGGGCGGCCCTCCGAGATGGGCAGCGCTTTTCGAGAGGCACGGCGACATCCCAGAGGCCTTCCCGGCTGCCGAGGAGCCTTCGCCGGAGAACCCAGGGCGGTCCCAGGAGGCGCCGGGCTTCTGACAGGCCTTTCGTCGGAGCCTCCGGGGCCGTCCAAGGAGGCGCCTGGCTTCTGACAAGCTCCTCCTCCTCCTCCTCCTCCTCTTCCTCCTCCTCCTCCTCCTCTTCTCCTCCTCCTCCTCCTCCTCCTCCTCCTCCTCCTCCTCCCCCTCCCTCCTCCTCCTCCTCCTCCCCTCCTCCCTCCTCCCTCCTCCCTCCTCCTCCCTCCTCCCTCCTCCTCTCCTCCCTCCTCCCTCCTCCCCTCCTCCTCCCTCCTCCTCCTCCCTCCTCCTCCCCCTCCTCCTCCCTCCTCCTCCCTCCTCCTCCCTCCTCCTCCCTCCTCCTCCTCCCTCCCTCCTCCTCCCTTCTCCCTCCTCCTCCTCCCTCCTCCTCCCTCCTCCTCCCCCTCCTCCCTCCCTCCTCCCTCCTCCTCCCTCCTCCTCCCTCCTCCTCCCCCCTCCTCCCTCCTCCTCCCTCCTCCTCCTCCTCCTCCCCTCCTCCTCCTCCTCCTCCTCCTCCTCCTCCTCCTCCTCCGCCTCCTCCGCCTCCTCCTCCTCCTCCTCCTCCTCCTCCTCCTCGTCCTCCTCCTCCTCCTCCTCCTCCTCCCTCCTCCTCCTCCTCCTCCTCCTCCTCCTCCCTCCTCCTCCTCCTCCTCCTCCTCTCCTCCTCCTCCCCCTCCCCCTCCCCCCTCCCCTGCTCCTCCTCCTCCTCCTCCTCCTCCTCCTCCCTCTTCCTCCTCCTCCGCCTCCTCCCCTCCCTCCTCCGCCTCCGCCTCCGCCTCCTCCTCCGCCCCGCCTCCGCCTCCGCCTCCGCCTCGCTCCGCCTCCGCCTCCGCCCCCTCCTCCTCCCTCCTCCTCCTCCTCCTCCTCCTCCTCCTCCTCCTGTTCCTCCTGCTCCTGCTTCTCCTCCTCCTCCTCCTCCTCCTCCTCCTCCTCCTCCTCCTCCTCCTCCTCCTCCTCCGCCTCCGCCTCCGCCTCCTCCTCCTCCTCCTCCTACTCCTCCTCCTCCTCCTCCTCCTCCGCCTCCTCCCCCCCGTGGCAGCGGCATGCGCACTTGTGCTGGCGGCGCGCACACGGCGAGGGCGGCGGAAGGGGGGCGGCCCTCCGCGATGGGCAGCGCCTTTCGAGAGGCACGGCGGCATCCCAGAGGCCTTCCCGGTTGCCGAGGGGCCTTCGTCGGAGCCCCCAGGGCAGTCCCAGGAGGCGCCTGGCTTCTGACAGGCCTTCGTCGGAGCCTCCGGGGCCGTCCAAGGAGGCGCCTGGCTTCTGACAAGCTCCTCCTCCTCCTCCTCCTCCTCCTCCTCCTCCTCCTCCTCCTCCTCCTCCTCCTCCTCCCCCTCCTCCTCCGCCTGGCCTTCGTCGGAGCCTCCGCAGCCGTCCAAGGAGGCGCCTAACTTCTGACAAGCTCCCCAGCAACCTCAGAAGGTGCCTGCCTCCTCGAGCCACCCCCCGGCGCGTGCCACGAAGGCCGGGGGAGGGAGGGCGGCACTCTGGACAGCAGCACCTGGCAAAGCAGGACCGAAACGCAGACAGATGGTGGGGTGGGTGCCGTCTCTCCTGCGGGTTTCACGGCGCCCATCCCTTCATGGGTGGGGTGCGTACGCTGGGAAAGCAAACTTACCCTGTGCCGGTGGGGGTGGCGATGGTTCTGTCGATGATGAGGCACGGGTGGGCGAGGAGAACCGTAATGCCAGCAGGGTGCGATCGGTGACCTTCCGAACATGGGTTCGCGCCGTTTAGCTCCAATGTGTACTTGCCTACACCCTGCGAAATGCTTAAGAAATCATGGGTTAAGAAATTCATAGTCTCAGAACTTGAATAAAAACCCAACATGTCTATTAAAATCATAGGATTTACATTGAAACATTAAGAATAATCGAGACTCTGGCCGAAAACTGAAGTTTTCTTAAGCATCGCCTAAGGTGTAATTACCGAAGCCCTTCGATTTGAAGCTGGCGATGTAATGAAGGCCGAGGCCGGCTGCGCGCTGCCAGCGGAGCTGAGCGAGGCAATCACACATTGGGGTACAGAAGGGGCGTTGACCTAAGGAACCCTAAATAAGGAACGAGGCCTCTTTTTCCCATAAGTTTAACTTCGATTTCCCACCGAAGTCCTAAGCAAAACCAAAGGCGAACTGCAAAACAACTAAGGAACACCGAGCCCCTCCCCAACGAAAAGGGTTCCTTCCTCAGTGCCCCGACTGTAGCACACGTCCTAGGTACCATCGAGAACAGGGGGAGGGGGCGAAGAGGACGAGGGTCGGGTGGCCGAGCGGAGATGGGGAGGGGAGCGGAGCGGAGCGTGTGACGCGAGGTGGAGGGGCGAATGCAAGGCCGTCCACGGCAACACCAAAAACCGACAACCGACCGCTTCGACAACGAAGCCGAAACCGACCGAAACCGAATCAGATCGAACCGAGCGAACGCAGCCGAGAAGGACGGAGCGACGCAGCAAAGACGCGCAGCCGACAGAGCCGAGCCGACCGAACGCAACCGACGACGAGGCGGCCGAGCCGACCGAACTGTTGACACCCTTGGCAGGAAAGGAGGTAAGCGAACTGAGGGAGGTGTAAGATTCCTTTTGGACCCCCGCGCAAGAATATCCTCCTCCTCCTGCTCCTCGGGAGCGCGACGAGAGGAAGGCGGAGGACGGTGGGGGCGGGCCGGCTGTTCGTCCCGAGTCGTTCTTTGACAGCCTCGAGACCCGAAGCCAGCCCCCGCGGATAGAGGAGCGAAACACTTGAGCGACGATCAACAATTGTCTTGCGCGCGATGACGTCGCGACTTTACGTGGTGGCTCACGCGGGCCGCCAGTGCGACACGCGACGCTTGAAAGCGCGAGCTTGCGCGGGCATCCTACGCGTCAACGTCGGCGAAGAGGACTCCGTTTTCTTGCGTCGCCCACTTGTTGTTTTGCTTCGCATGCTTTGGAAAGCAGAAGAAAGGGTAGAAGAACCAACATCTGCATAAACAGAAACTTGGGGAGCTCCGCGTGCGTTTCTTGGATGGGCGCTGGGACCTCCTTCCTGGCACGCGGATCGCGCCAGGGGCGGCGCCGGAGGCCCCGCCAGGGGGGCCCAACGCTGATCCGAGAAATCTGCGCGGAGCTCCGAAAATCTATGTTTATGTCATTTCTTCTCATTCGGGCGGAGGCCCAAGATGGCGACTAACTTGCCGCCTTAATTCTTCCCTTCAATCCTGTGGTGTTGAGTCCTCGTTTTGATGAGGCAGCGCCCCGCGGCTCACATCCTCCCGAGGCCCCCTCCCCCTCTTCCCTCCTCCCCCCATCCCTGCCTCTGCCACACCCCTCAAACGCTTCGTGTCCCCATTGGGGGTTCCAGCTGAAGCCCAATGTCCAGGGCCCGCATGCCACCGCCGCGCCCGTTTCGACACACACCTCACACGTTTCGTGTACCCGCATAAGGAGCCCCACCGAAGGCCCCAGTGGGAGGGCCCGCATGCCACCGCCCCACTCATGTCGGCACGCCCCGCCCACCTCTCGTGGCCCCATCGGGAGCTTCACCGAATCCGTCCCACCTCCCTTGCGGCACTCACCATTTCATATTCTTGGGCCCTTCGAGGCGCAGGATTTTATGGGGAGGCCGAGGGGGGAAGACAACAACGACACCACGACCACGAACACCACGACGACGACGACGACAACGACAACGCTGACGACGACGACGACGACGACGACGACGACGACGACGACGACGACGACAACGGCGACGGCGACGGCGACGGCGACGACGGCCGCCACAGGCAGCGTACCCCGAGCGACATGAACTCTCGGCCAGACGACGACGCTGACTTTGAAGATGACGACGACGACGACGACGACGACGACGGTACCGGCGGCAGCGGCGGCAATGTCGGCGACGGCGACGGCGACGATGGCCGCCACAGGCAGCGTACCCCGAGCGACATGAACTCTCGGCCAGTCGACGACGCTGACGACGACGACATTGACGCTGATGTTGACGACAGCGACGGCGACGACGACGACGCTTACGACGACAACGCTTACGACGACGACGACGACGACGACGACGACGACGACGACGACGACGACGACGACGGTACCGGCGGCAGCGTCGGCGACGGCGACGGCGACGACGGCCGCCACAGGCAGCGTACCCCGAGCGACATGAACTCTCGGCCAGAAGACGACGCTGACATTGAAGACGACGACGACGACGACGACGACGACGACGACGAGGACGACGTTGACGCTGAGGGTGACGACGACGACGACGACGACGACGACGACGCTGACGCTGACGCTGACGACGACGACGTGCCCCGAACGATGGCCCTGGCGCTCTCGGCGACAAGACGACGACGACGCGCACGACCTCGACGACGACGGCGACGTGCCCCGAGCGATGGCCTTGACGC